GAAGTACAACAATGGGCTGCATGTCGATAGTATCTTTCCATTGATGATAATAAAATGCATTAAAATTGTGTATCACAGCTTACAACACACCAGAAAACTATCTAGTTCTTCAAGGCACTTGTTTTTATTTGTTACATAACGTTGATTTCAGTTTGAGCACAGTATAAGGAATGAAAAAGTGATGAATCAGAGGTACTGTCTTCATGGGTTGTATCTGACTGCTGGATGCCCCTCCTGAAATTCAGAATATACTGAGAAACCCCACAAGCTCTGCAATAATCTTAATCAACTAAACATGCAGATGCATTCATCTTACTATTAGGCTCACACACCTGATACCTTAGACTTCTCTTTTATATATAGAAAAAATATTTATAGTTTCCTGTGTCTTTGTGTGCACAAATACATAAAACATAGTTTAAAATAAATCCTTAAAAGTTCCTGATTAAACAGCTCTAGTGGCATACTAGAAAGAAGATTACTGCTCACTCAGTATAAACTGTGTCACCAATTACAGAAATGTTACCGAACGTGTTACTACTGAACTATGACTTAAACTTCCTATTACAGGAAACCATAAAGCTGCAAAACATGAAAAGATCAAAAGCTAGGGTGAAAAAAAACCCCATTATTATACAAGAGGATTATATATGTATTGCAACTGAATGTTCACAGCTACAGCATTTGTGCACATTCTAAGAAAACAGAAAACTACTATCTAAAACAGGAATAAAATACTGATCTTGAAATTTGTGACTACCTCAAGATCATGCAGGGCTTGATACTGCACACTGCTGAGTACCAAGTGCGAAGTGCTGAAGTACGTACTTCATGTCAAGTACACTGATTATGTCATTAACTCTGTCAGGTTTATCCACCTGCTTAAATTTGAACCAGCACGTTTCAGTGCTTGTGGAACAACACCAGTGGAGTTTAATCTCATGTAAGACCAAACTTGTGTGAACTCTGTGACTAAGACAAGAGCAAAACTGGGGACCCAGCACCTCACAATTCCTAAATGTTACTAAAGCCTTAAATGAGAACTTTTGTGGATGACAGTTAATTTAGATCAATAACTCTGAAGTCTTTTGCAGTTTTTCAGCCTCAGAATTTAACTGATTCACAGTGATGTTGTGGTCTAAAGTTGGTGAGACACATTGAGGGTAAAGTATTACTATTCAGGTATTATGGCCTAAAATTAAACACGGAGCATTAGAAAGTTGTAACAACTGCCCCTGTAAAAATAGAAGTTTCTATAAAAGTACTAATTTAGGAAAGCTTTCAATCCAGTGTTTCCAATATATTTTATTACCTGAAATATGAAACAAGTTGCTGTGGAACGTGGCATGAAGGCACTGCTTGCAGCAGTGACAGACCTTTCATGAAGAATTACTACAGCAGCCCATGCTCAATTATACCAAAGCTTTCGAGTGGAAGACTTCAGATAAATACTTAGAAAACATAAATCACCTAGTCTCAGTGCAAACTACTCACTACCAACTCAGGGCACTTAGACATTTCAATCGCTTCTCTGTTGTTTTCCAGAAGTTTTTCTGAAGCTGGCATAACACCAGTTGTTAATTTTGAGATGCAGTGAAAAAGGGTTTGCTGGGCAAGACTAGAATAGAATCATAGGATTATGGAATGGTTTGGGTTGGAAGAGACCTTTAAAGGTCATCTAGTCCAACCTTCCCTGCAATGAGCAGGGACATCTTCAACCATACCAGGTTGCTCAGAGCCTCGTCCAACCTGACCTTGAATGTTTCCAGGGGTAGGGCATCTACCACCTCTCTGGGCAACCTGTGCCAGTGTTTCACCACTCTCATCGTAAAGAATTTCTTCCTTATATCTAGTCTGAATCTACCCTCTTTTAGTTTAAAACCATTGCCCCTTGTCCTATCGCTACAGGCCCTACTAAAAGGTCTATGCCCAAAGAGACCTGAATATCTTTTAAGAGATCACAATATTTAACTGTAAGTGAAAAGATGTTTCAAGTAAGTCTTCCTGCACGTTCACCGACATATATATTAATGCTGTTCTCTAAATCCCAGCTACACAATTTCACTCACCACAAAAAGTCAAAGTGATTCCTGTTAAATCTCTTCAAGCCACACTTTCTCTGCTGAAATTACAGTGTGTGTCTTTAGTAGGGATAAAAGGTCAATATAGCTTTTTTTTTTTTTTTTAATCTTTCTGTCATTGCACTTTTAAGACAGGAAGGAAGGGTGGACTGGGCAAAGACCTGGCTCTGAGGGAACAGGAAGGGAGGGAAGTCTAGCCAGTGTGTTGGTTACTCAACCCTTTCATTTACTGGAAGTAACTCCAGGAGTGAGATGAATTCCAGCTCTGTGCTGCTCCTGAAAGGGAGTGCACAGATGTACAAATATGTCCTTGTTGGACAAATGATCATGTTCTTCCATCATAAATGAACTACCTACTGTATAGCTTAAGGATAAGAAAGCTGCACAAGTAGGGAGCTGTTTAAAACTTGTGTTCACAGAGATTAAATATACTTTATGTAAAGGCTTAATATTTATTTTTGGCTAATATGTAAATTTAATGAAATTCTGCCCAGATAGTTTGCTACAGTTTATATACTATGATAAAAGTCTTGCTATATTGTCAAAATACAAATATAAAAAATGTTTCCACTAATCGATAGATGCTGATTACTTTTTTTATTTCACATATGAATTTCTATGATGTGCTTTAACAGTAAATATATTCAAAACTGCATTCAGTTTCCAACACTATCATTAATTTCTTGGCTCTGCATTTTTTTCATACACCATATATGTGATTATGGATGTTAGATGTGCATTTGGTTGCCATTTTAATAATGCAGAATTGCAGTACTTCATTTTTGCATAGTGTTAGTTTATTTTTTGTAAATCTATTATTTTCACAGTGTCTGCATAGTCTGTCTTCAAATTGTTGTTGTGTAGATTCCAAATAATGGACATGAGGAGTGAGATTTTACACTAACTACCAATGCTACTGAAAGCAGGACTTGATGAACATTGTCTTAGCTATATTTAGGATAGCCGTAGCCATGCAATAATGTCTTCTCTTCACTATGTTTTTTTCTACTTCATGCATGTCTATAAAAAAGGCCCATAACTACAAACAATACAGGTTCAAGGAAAAGAACAGCTGCAATGAAATCCTTGGTCCTTGAAATCAACAGCAAAACTCACAGACCACAGTATGCCCAGGATTTCATATGCAATATATGAAATTAAGAAGAGAAAGTTAACAATTCCTATTCCAAATACTCTAGACAGAGGCAGAGGGAAGGTGGAGGGAGGAAATGCCCTAAGCTGTAATCAAAGCAGCTACATGCTCTAATTCTGTTGGACTCTCTGAGACAAAACATTTTTTTTCTGCTAACGACAGATTTCTAGACAAGTCAACTCGCATTGAAAAATCTGTAAAATGAAACATTAGGAGCAAGTAGTGCAGTTGTGTTTGCATAGCTCTCCTTTCATTCACATCTTTGTTCTAAGCACTTTTTTGGACAGTGCTATGAAGTTAAATCTCCCTAGGAAGGGTTAAAATTGGTAACTATTAAGTTGGACTCACTAGTTTTCATTTATGCCCTCGGTTTTGTGAGTAAAAAACAGGGGGGGTTTATACCATAATTTTGTAGATGGGTAATTTCACCTAGCTTGCTCATACATTAGTAATGTTTATAGCTATTTTACTGCCAGGATAACAGTTTGCATTTATTTCTAGTGTGTAGCAAGTTCCGAACGTGTTACCTTTAATTTTGCCTTCGGATATACTTCTTTACACACTGCTTGAACCTAAACCTCTGATCAGGAGCCAAGGGTTGTTCTATGACCCCATCACCACCATTTCTTATGCTTCCTCCACCCTGTGCCCTTCTGCTGGTGAAGAAGGACAACGCGTAAAACACAGGGAAAGGGAAAACACAAAAGGGGCCAATTGCAGTGCTACTGCAATGATGACGATACCATTATTCAGTTACTACATCTAACAAATATATATTGGATGGGAATAATTATCAGCATGCCATTTACCACATTTAGACTGTTATGAAAAAGACACAATCATTAGTGTGTTGCTTAGTGTCTTATTTATTTACATTTGTATTTTCCATAGTTCTTATTATTATTCATTTTTATTTTCCTTTTTTTTAGCTTGACCTATTTTTTTCCATCTCCTAAAAGTATATAAAAAATTAAATGTTTTTTCTTTCCAGTCTGTATTCTCCAACCTACTGCATTTCTAAGAAGACAGAAGTATAATTAAAATGAGCACAAATTTTTGTGCAGTTTATGCTGAAACTCCCTCAACAGGCACCTCATATAGACAGTTTCATACAAAAACTAAGCCTTGCTGTTAAGTTTTCACTTCCATGGCCAAAACATTACATTCATTTCGTATTTTCATATGGAAAAATGTGTGCAGGTTGGTCCAAGATTACACAGTGCCCTTTTTCTGCCTCTAGTGTTGTCAGTTCACAGAACATTTATATACCATGATAAGAACAGAAGATAATTTAGTAGGGGCTGAGAAAAGACTAATAAAAATGTTTCCTTGGGTGAGGATAAGCCTCTTGGATAATTATGATTTGTCTCACCCTAGCTTTTGATCTTTTCATGTACTGCAACCTTAAGATTTCCTGTAATAGGAAGTTTAAGTCATAGTTTGGTAGTACTATGTTTAATAACATGTCTGTAATTGGTGACAGCACGCTAATGCTCTTTGCCAGTAGGCAACTAGAGTTTTCTAATCAACAACTTTCAAATCATGATTTTAAATATACTATAAAGATATTTAAAACCCTATGAAGAAACTACATCATTTCCTGTATATATTTTCTTTATACACATCTACACCTAAAAAGGAAAATACAGTCAGTGTAAGGAATCCAGTTTGTTTGGGTAAAAGACACATTCTGCAAGTCAGGATAAGTAAGATTACTTCATACATTGCTCAAGATACTGTTATGAGTTTGAGGAGGGTGATGCAATTGGCAGCCAGACAGAGCCCACAGGACAATCCTGTCTGCCTAACTGGAGGCACTGACACCACATCCATATGGAAAGAAACAGCTCTGCCTGTGCACAATCAGGTCCCCAGGAGCTGGATCCATCACCACCATCACAACTAGCATTCCTAAAACGGTGTTTGAGAACAGGCAGGACAAAATGCTGGTTCTAAGAGAGCCAGAGATAAAGCTGCTCAGGGGAAGTAATCAATGCTTTCATAATAATTTTAAATGGTTCAGGGGTTTCAATGTTAAAACTTGATGCTGATTACTCTGAGTAACTGAAGTTCCATGCTGCTCATTGTTAAGTGACAGTAAAGGGGGGGGCGGGGTTGGCTGTTTTTCTCCCACCTCTGAAACTGCCTTGCAAAAGGTAAATTTTAAATCAGGTCATGGCTTACTTTTGCTGCTTTTTAATTTACAATTAGAATACGTAGCTCAGATATTTTAAAGTGACCAGTGACCTGGTCACTTCAGCATCACCTCTCAATTTCATTGAAATTGAACAGAGATAATTTTGATAAAGTTAGAAGAAGAAAGTTAGGTTCCTTTGACAGTGTGTCACCTTTGATGCCTTAAAACTGAAAGTCAAAATTATTAGACACCCCTTGAAAACGTTTGTTCATGGAGGTTCTCCCTCTTTTCCTCTTTAACTTCTGTAGCAAAAATGTCAAAAATATCATGTGTGGCCTTTCCTCTTTTTGCTAGATGACTTTATGTGTTCCAGGAATAACACCAAAGTTTTCCACACCTTACCTGGAAGGGAGAAGCAAGGGATTATCCACCTGGTCTTCCTTTATCCCATAGACTTTTTAAATATTTGAGTTAACTTAAAAAATAAAAATTAAATAGTTTGACTTAAAAGCACCTGCCTTCTTACTTGGATTTTAGTATCATATGGAATCATCATCTTGAGAGTTGTCCAAGTAGACCACACCTTCATTTTTAATATCAGCAAAATTATCCACACTTTCATGACAACTTTATAGTACTTTCATGTTATCGTTTGCAAAGCAGCTTTGTAATAGTGAGGTGTACTGACCTAATCAACTGAGTGAAACATGTCAAGTAAAGAAAGACTATCTTTCTATCTCTGCTCTAGCTGAGTTCTATCAAATCTCTACTGTGTATTACAAATTTTTGAATGAAAATCTAACTGCAATTTAGACAAACTAAAATGATTTTGGTAAGTATGAACCATGTTCTTGAAAACAGGCTCGTCAGCCAGGTTCAGGTCCCATCTCCCAGTCACAGGCGTACATCAATCCCAGGAGCGCTAGAATATCTCAAAATGATCATACTGTTCAAGCAGAAAACAACTTGAAATCTGAAAAGGGTAAGACTGCCAACAACTCAGGCTGAGGCAGACAGATAGTCTGAAAATTTCAGTCTGAATAGTTTGTCTGGAAAATTTCAAGGAACTGAAACCAAGGTTTTCTGACAGGACATCTAAGGCAGGTCTACTTTTCTATCAACTCTATACATAGGTAGAAATATACATGAATGCTGCGTGTAACAAAATTTGCCTTTGCTTTTGTCTGCATCTGTTCCACCCCCCCTCCCCCGCCCCCCCCCTGCTTTTGTCTGCATCTGTTCCCCCCCCCCCGCCCCCCCAACATTCAGAGTAAATCGCTACAGTAGGAAATACACAGTTGTTTCACTCTAGGAAGCATTTGCTGTTCCAACTAATTGACTTAATTGTTCAATTTTCTGTCTACTTACCAATAACTAGGAGAAGCATAAGTCTTCTAATTCTTCCTTGTAAAGCACCACAATTTGCTTAACCATGAATATTTAATCACATCACGGCCACCCATTATGTGTTTGTTTAATACACTGCAGGAACAGTATCACAAAGTTTGCATATGGGTGGCTTAATTTGTTTTTCTTTCCCATTTGTGTGTGACACTCTTCCCACAGGAAGGAAAAAAAAATATATAAAATTAAGGTCAGAATACCACAAAAAATTTCATTAGGCAGGTAGGGAGTACTCACAAAGCAGCCTCCTTTAGCCTACAGTGGCTGGCTCCTCTGTGGGGTCTCTCTGTGGTCAGCAAGGCAGACAGGGAGCTCCCCATTACAACACAGAAGCCCTACCGTTTGCCTCCAGCTCTGAACAGCCCTCCGGGCAGGCTACTTCTCCCTGAAAAGCAGCTACAGAACAACCTAGAGAGTGTCACTTTGTCAAGTTAAAATTATGAAGTGAGCCTTTGTGAAAGCCAGTGGGGTCTCACAAAGCATCTTTGCTTCTGGTGCAATGTATCTAATGTCCCAGAAAACACAATACATGTGTTAAATTCATTTGAGGTTCAGAAGTCCTGCTCATACCTATCTCCTCTCCCAAAGTCAAGTTAATCAATACGGTACCTGCAGCTTATGGCCTTAGCCACAGTTGCTTTCAGAGTTGCTGCTGGTGCTGCTGCTTCTGCTATGTCTTTCTGTCCTGTATTTCTGGCAGCGCTGGCAGCACAGTGGTGCGGGCAGCCATGGAGGTAGCAGCTATGGTGACAGCAATGGCAGCTAAGGCAGGAATACCGGAGCACCAAATACCTTTGTTGCTTATGATACACCTTCAGTTGATCCCTCCTCTTTGCTGTGAGTGAGTTTTGTGAGTTTTGGCATATTTTATAAAACTTAAACTCTTTAGCACCTATCTTTCTTCATTTCAAAACAGGTTATTTATGTAGGAATTTTTTTATAGATACTTTTTTTTTTTTTAGAAACAGACTGCTGACAAAAATTAATTTTCTTGTACCTTCATTAAAAAGTGCGCATATTGCTGTGGTTTTATTTTCACACTTGTCCCATTTCCTTTACATAATCAATTCATTATTCTAATGTCAGATATAATTTTCATTTTATTGATTACAATTTTACTGTTTTATTAAATGAAATTTAATTAATGATATAAATTCTATTTTAGTTTTTAATTCTTTTTACCTGCCAACCATTTTTCTCGAATTATTGTTTACCTTATCATATACAGGAATTTATCCTGACAACGGAATTTATGCTTAATTTTAAATACAACAGGTTGGCTCAGCCTATGTGAAGTGCAGCATACGTGTAAGTCATGCTGGGTCACAGCTACAGAGACAAAATAGGCTGATGAGACTGACAGCAATGACAATGATTCTAAAGGCTCTCGCATTAACCATAAGAGAAACCCCATAAAAGAAAGATTAGGGGCCATGCGCCTGTTTCAAAAATCAGATATTCTGAAAAGATACAAAGTTTGCTTCGAAACCTCCATCAGGGGAAACAGCCAGGAAATAATACATGTGCCTAATACAAAACATTGACCTTGAAAACAGTGGAAAAATCCTCCTAATTTCAAACCAAGAATGGTTAGGCAAAGCACCCATCATTCTATGGAAGTACATTGAGAGATATTGCTTTTGCAGTATTCAACGATAGTATGACACTAGACTGCCTTCCAGGTATTTGTCTTATAGCCTCAGGAATGGAAATAATATAATTTCAACTGTCTTACTTGATCAAACTGAGGGTCTTCTCCTCGTTGCAGAGATTTGGTCAGTGGCTTCTCCTAAAAAAAAAAAAAGTATTACTTAATATCAATACTATGATATATTCTATCAATCAACTCTACTATTATTTTTCTCTTAGATTTTTACTCACATAATTTGCCTCCTGATCATTTTCATGCTGGAGATACTGTTTGTTTCATATGCAAAAGAGACCTCTGTGTACATATGACCTAATACTGGCAGAGTGTCTTTAGTGTCTCCAAGAAAGAAAAGGATTAACCATTTAGTACACCTGAGTTATTTGGTACTCACACTGACAATAAATTATTTCAAAATCCTAAAAGGCACCTGGTATTTCCTCTAATACATAAGGAGCTCTATTTAGCTACAGGATGTACCTCCTTGTTATAATACTATCAGACAATACAAACATCTCTGTAGATATAGGGCATCATGCAGTGCAAACTGAAGGAAAGGTGATTTTAGAATAAACAAATATCATTGAGTTCATTTTTAAGGAAGATAATTGTGGAAAAAATGGCTGTATTACTCCGAAAAGAGAAAAAAGGCATTTTTGTAATGAAAGCAAATTTTCAGAACATGTTCTCAGAGTACTTGGGAAGGTCCAGGAGAATTGCCCAACTCAGAAATCTGAGTCCCCACGTGTGAGCAGCCATTCACCTTTATGACTTTTTTGCCAAGAAGGCTCAATTTCTGAGGCATGTAGAAGTACCTAGTCCAGTATTCTAGATATACACAACAGTATACAAATCTCCTAAACCATAGTGAAAATAAACAGTACTTGAAGACAGATGACACTCTGAAAAACATGTCACCGTCATGATTCTGCACTGAATTCTACTACTGTTGCTGGTGTCTGAAATGCACCAGAGCTTATTCTTCTATAAATCATGCATCTTTCTTCTCCTACAGCTGCAAGATTGGGGCTCTCCCAGCAGGTCAGCATGAGATTTTCTGTTCAGCTTTCAGCAAACTATTACACTCATCAGCATCTGTTAGTATATCAGGCAAAATACCATCACTGCCAGGGGATGTGAGATGCAGAACAAAGAAATCTGTAAAGCTGCTGAGATAATGCAATGGAAAGACTTGAGGTGGTCCAAAGTTTTCTATTATTTAATGTTTCTCTCTGGAGAAAATGTTGTCCAGTATATGCTGCTGACTGATTTTGAAATTAATTATGCTGATCCACTTGTAATGCCAGCTGGCAAGGAGGCTGGCTGCAGGGTGATCACAGTATCCCCTGACTACCTACCAAATAGAAAAATCAACAAAATGTTTTCTACCGAGTCACTGATTTATCCACGACAGTCATCAATATTTTTCATTGTTACCTCTAATGTCTAAAATGACTCCTCCAGGTTACATTAAAGGCACAACAACTATTAATTAGAACTTTATAACAGATTATTGGTAATGAACAGACACAGTAAAATCTTGTAGTCCAGAAACAGACACAGGACACCACCCCTGCCACAGTCCTCCCTCTCAATCAGTAACTCAGTGCTACCCTACCTAGCTGTGTCTCATGAGAGGACAATACTTTGTCTATTAGTGCACACTGATTATCTGACAGCAGATAATATTTCAAAAGTAGTGTTCAACTTATTTAAAAGGAAAAGGATTCTTAAAAGTTTTCATCGGTCCTGGATAAATCAATGTACTGAGAATTAGTGCAGTTCAGAAAAAAACCCCAAACAACACACCACCTTTTTTTTAATTAAATTTCTAATTCTGTTACAGAAGACTTGTGTTACCACAGAGAAGTTTCTTAAGGCCTGTTTCAATAAAAAGGGCTTTGGCATCCAGAAGCTTTGTGTTCCTGTGCCCAACATTGCAATGCTTGGCTTTCAGAGCAGTATCTAAAACCCTGCAGAAATGCATTCAGTTTCTCTGGCAGAAATGAAGAATGGGATTCCTCATCATATGCTTATCTGTAAGGTGGACACAATTAAATGAGACAAAACATGCTCTGGGAACCCAGGTCTGGAAATGCAATCCTGAAAATGTCCTCATCACCTGTTACCTATCTCTGGAAGCACAAACACCTCACAAATGCTTCAGTTTCTGAGTTAGTGAAGATGCTTCCATTTTGAGAAGGCAATACAACTCATCTCTTGCCCCCTTACAGGTGACTAGACCAGGGTTTGCCAAATCATGGTTCATGAAAAGAAACCATCCACAGGCTGTGCAGACTTGGTTGCAGCAGAAGGCTGGCCTGGGATGGAGATCAGCCAAGGACACCTAGCAAAAGCCAGGAAGGGTTCTGCTGCCTTAACTTCTCAATTTCTCCCGTCTAGGGCTTTAACAGGCCTTTCTCTTCCCTTCATCCCATCCTGCACCTACTGCTGCTCTTGCCACTTCCCTTCTCCTCGCACTCTTGCCAAGCAGCAGCTGCTACTGCAGCTGTCTCTGCCTCTTCTTCGTCCCCCTGTTCACGTTGCTGCTCTTGCTTTTTCCTCGACTGTTTCCAAGCGCGGCACTGCCACTGACGCTGCCTGCAGCGACAGCTCAGCCTGGCTGGACCCAAGCTGACCCCGTGAAGCCAAGTGTCTCTGCACATACTCCCCTGCTCTGGGAGTGGGGTGCCCACATCAGAGCAACTCATTGTACCCCTGTAGTGAATGGCAATAACCACAGAAAATTATATTTGAGGTTTGGAGATTGGAGAAAACTCAAAGTAGAAGTTATTACTATTTACTTTACTACCAGTGATGAGTACAGAATAGATAAGGAACTCGATAAAGATGAAGGGCCAGATACAAATATGTTTTTTGGTGTCTAAGTGCTCCTAAAATATAAAATGATAAAGATGATTGCTTGCATGATGGGTGTAACAATTGACATTGTCAGGAAGACACTGCTGAGTAAATTCAAAGACAGCTGAACTACACATAGATGCTTCAGGTGGCCTTTGAAAACAGCATTTTTTCTCTATGCAATAGAAAATTTCTTCTCATCTTCTGTAACCAACTTGCCTATTTTATGCCACTTAGTTCTAATATCCTTACAAATCTTACTATTTCATTTTATGCAGTATTTTCAACATCGTTGCTGTGGCAGCCACTATATAAAATATACTTATACTCAATGGTAGACATTTTCATTATATACCAAAGGTTCAGGACTGGCAAAGACAAGGTTAAAAAATATAATAAAGTGAAATTGCTTCTGAGTAATAGATGCCATAGCAATCTATTTACCCTGGAGATACACTTAAAAGTTTTAAAAAAAATCTTAAAAATGTTTTCCAGCCTCAAGGCACTATTTTATTTTTATTTATTTTCTTGCCCACCCAATTCAGAAATGCCAAAGAGGCCCTTTTATATTATGAATTGACTCTGCTTGAGTCTCTGTAGCTATAATACATTCTACAGAAATGTCTTCCAAATCTTGGATGAATAGGTAGGCTGAATTTGGAGCCAAAGCCTACAACCACAAAATATGAATAAAGAAAGTTTTGATTAATCTGAAAGGGCTCATAGCTTTCTGGGCTATAAAAAAACATCAGAAAATTTCAGAAGAATGGACTCTCAATAATAACATTTCCATTTTTAATCACTAAGTTAAACATCCTTGTTTTTTGTTTGAAGTGCTGCCTTTAATTGTATACTCTGTATTTGGAAACTCCCATGATATGAATACGTGTTAGAGATAAGCAGTAAAGATCAGCAAAGACAATTTTGCATGTAATACTTGAAACTATCATTTTTCAACAAAACTATCTAAGCTTTTTGCATCACCAGTGCTTACAAAATGCTCACTTAAAAATTAATTTCCTTCCTCTGCCTCATAGCTGTTGTGAAAATGTTAATAGACTATAACAAAATAGAATATGTTGAATATGCAATGGCAAATGTATATTTTATCACATTTGCATGCATCAACTAAATATAATATTTATAATTTATCTAAAAAATAACATATCAGTCAAACCCTCTATTCACATAGACACACTAAAACATTTCTCCAAAGACTGTCAGCTACTTTCATATTAACATATGAATGCCTTTTCAGGGCTGCTACACAAATATAATTGGGTAAATTTACACAGGAATTGCTTTTCTCAACCACCTGTCACAGAACTGAGTGTTCGGAGAAACATGAAAACAAAAGGATGTTGTAGTGCCTATTAAGCTTCATTACATCACCATGTTAGAATGATATATAATGTCCCTTAAAGTTATTTCTTACCTCAGCAACCATTAGGCACGTTATTCCTACTCAACTATGACTGGGTACTGTATCACTGACTGACATAAACTCCCTCTTTTTATAAAAGCATGGAGGATGCAAAGATATTTTGATACAAAATGTAACTTTAGCACTGCATGCTAAAGAGCAGCATACATACTCTACTGAGTAGTCTGCTGGGATGGAAGAGTTACCAAAAGGAAACAGCAGAAGAATGGACCTTTTCACATAAAATGGAGTAGACATAGACTTCAACTGCTACAGCTAAAATATATACAAAATGCATGTCTTAAGAACCAAAAAATTCTGAAGTGTAATTCTTTCCTGCTTACAGTGAACCATCACAAGAGCCCTAAAAGAAACTGAACATCTTTGTATTATATTCTTTTCAGCAGCAAAGGAAGGCGGTGTTTTGTAGGAAAAGGTCTGCTCCAAAAATAGGTGGATCAAACATGCTAAATTTTTAGTTTTGCCATTGGTTATTTTGTACAAAGATCAGAAAATGTATCACTGTCGACCTTGCGCTCATGTGGTCTGTAAACCATTATCTGTGTCACCTAGAAGAAAATGCCATGATGCCAATTTGCTTTTGAAGGCTGGGCATGCGGAACTTTATTCCACAGAGGAGCACCCACCCTTCAGGTGCAGCCAACCTAGCAGTCAGTTGCCTCTGAAAGGTACAATTTGTCTGTCTGGTCCCTACCTCCATTCTCAGCTTCTCGGGAAATAATTTTCAACTCTTACCTACCTTTTCACTATTTGGGAATTCCCACCCCTGCCCCCCCAGGAAATCTAGTTAATTTATACCTAACCAATTAAGAAAGCCAAGCTTTTTGACTCAAAA